ATATATATATATATATATATATATATATATATATATATATATATATATATATATATATATATATATATATATATATATATATATATATATATATATATATATATATATATATATATATATATATATATATATATATATATATATATATATATATATATATATATATATATATATATATATATATATATATATATATATATATATATATATATATATATATATATATATATATATATATATATATATATATATATATATATATATATATATATATATATATATATATATATATATATATATATATATATATATATATATATATATATATATATATATATATATATATATATATATATATATATATATATATATATATATATATATATATATATATATATATATATATATATATATATATATATATATATATAGCATAATACAATTTATCTAAGTCATTAAACATTTATTTTAATCTGAAATTTGTAATAACCAGCGTGTGCTTTAAATGAAATAAATTCTTCATTATAATAGGTTTTGTTTTTTGTTTTTATTATTTGTTTTGCATTGATAATTTTAGTTATGGTTATATGATCATTTATAAATCTTAGTTGTTCATTTAGTCATCCATTTATTTGTATCATATCTTTAATTTATTTATGTTTATCATTTATTACATTAATCATTTATTGATTTGATTTCTTTATTTTACATATTTCTTATAACTTATTTTAATGCTTTTTCCATTGTTGAGTGTTATTTTGATGGTGTCTCATAAAATTTACCTCTCCACTGATATAATATATGAGGATATGTCTCTAATTCAAGGTCTTATGGCCTGATGTATAATAACATTTGTTATGTTTGTTCTGTTCAGATGAAGTATGAGAGAGCACCAAAACATGCAACTAAGATTATTCCCTAAACCCTGCTCTTTTATTATCATCACTTTGTTTTCTGCTTCTGCTCTTTTCTGGCTTCCTTCCACAGTCGACTCCTATATTGATAGTAGACTGCTAATTCAGTTTAATACTGGTTAACAGGTTTGGGTATTGGAAACTCTGCTGACTTGTTGTCCAAATACCTGGAAAAACATCCAGGAGCTGAATCTTATTTATCTGGCGTGGAGACTGTGAACTAACATAGGCAAAAGCCCACATTGACTATGTTTGGCCTTTAAATACTTTATTAATTCTTATGCCATTTTCCCCTTTTCTCTTATTTTTTTATCATTTCTAGACATTATTGCTTTTATTACCATCATTATTATTATTATTAATCATTGGAGCACTAAATTTTAACTATTTAACATTAAGTTTGACAAGCATAGCTGCAAACTTGAATCTTATTAAAATTTAACACCAGCAGCTCATAGTAATTTGTTTTCTTTTAAATATGGTCTACAATTTTGTATATTACTTTACATTTACAGTTTTAACTGTATGACGTGCATATTGAGTAGTGTAGTGTGGATAAAGATCTTTTCTGAAGTGTAGTGGAAACGCCAGCATGAATGAAAGTTTTCTAGTGTAATTGCTGCCTGCAGAGCCTGATCGGCTGGTTGAGGTGTGCTTTGTCAGGACGCTGCGCCTCCAGGAACCCGTCTGGACTCCTCTGGGTTTATGTTTTTACCTCTCCACCCTCCAGCGCTCTGACGAAAGCACAGCTCTCGCTGGTGCAGGAGCGAACGGTCTCCGTGCGGCCCTCGCGGAACAAACGGGTCATCGACGCCTCATACGTCAGACTAAAAGTGCCTCGATTCTGGAAACAAGGAGGAAATCACAGCAGAAGAATAATTACACAACATAATATAAAGGATAAAGTACATCCAGGAGGTTATCGCAGAATTGGAAAACTTTTAATTCTGTAATTAATTGAACAACAAAAACAAAAACAGCTGAATGGAGCATTGAAGCAAAAAGTAAAAAATATGATGGCTATTTTATATATAAATATATATATATATATATATATATATATACACACACACACACACACACACACACACATACACGCATACATATTTA